CCAGCAGCATTGGCGTCACCAGGAGTTGGTTAGGGATGCAGGACCTCAGGCCACACCCCAGGCCTGCCGGGCCAGAACCCAGGTTCTCTACCGGCACGCCAGGGAACGTGCGTGCCACATGCTCGAGATCCCTAGTTCAGGGTTCGCAACGTGCTGGACGCGCGTGGACAGGAGACCTTCAGACAACGTGCGGCGCCCTCCTGGGAACAGGGCCTTGTGGCTCTTCACTGCTGCGGGTTTTCTGGTGTGGGAGGGCCGTGCAGAGATCTGAGGGGCTTCATTCAGGGTCCCACGTGAGTGTGCGAGTGAGTTCCCATCTCATCTCTGGTCGGCCTTCAGTCGAGTTTCTTTGGGACCCTCCAGCACTGAAGAGAAAGTCACGTCTATCCAGCAAAATACCTATTGCCTGACTTGGTCAAGAGACAGTCGGCCACAGAATGGGCCCGGTATTTCAGGAACAATGGGCTCATGGACACAAGAAGGGAGACGGCATACAACAAGCGATTTTCACTCCTTATGTGGAATGAAATCCATGTCACTGCTGGCTTTTGTAATTGTGTTGTCTTACCTGGAGTCACTGTGTTTGTGTTATTTGGAACTGTAGGGACCAAGTTTGCTCCAGATCTGGAGTGTGCAACCGTGTGGTCACCCTTGTCTGTGAAGCTCTGAGAGGCTCACTGTCCTGCAGCAGGCCTGTGGACACACCTGTGTGGTGTGGGGGAACTTGTCACCGGGGCAATGGCTTCACTCACAAATCCTACCAACCACTCAAGGAGGAATTAACGGCAATCCTTCTCAAACTCTTCCAGGTAACTGGAGAGGAGGGGACACAGCCAAACGCATGTGATGAGGCCAGCATTACACCGATACCAAAGCCAGACAGAAACACCACAAGAAAAGAAAACTGCAGGCCAACATCCCTGATACACACAGATGCAAAAATCATCAACAAATATTAGCCAACTGAATTCAACAGCACGTTAAAGAAACCGTACACCATGATGAAGTGGTGCTTATCCTGGGAATGCAAGGATGGGTCAACAGATGAAAATGATGGGATACCCCACACTAACCTTATGAAGATAAAAATCATATGGTTATCTCAACAGATGCAGAAAAAGTGTTTGACAAAATTTAATAGCCTTTAATGATGAAAACTCTCAACAAACCAGAAGGGAAGTACCTCTGCCAGATGGACGGGGGATGGGGCCTGGGTGAAGAAGGTGAAGGAACTAGTAAACACAAACGGGCAGCCACAGAGCAGTCACGAGGACACTGAGTGCGGCACAGGAATGCGGTCGATAACACTGTGATGGCCCCCCGTGGTGTCAGGGGGCACTAGACCTACCAGGGGGAACTCTCTGTGAGTTGTGCAGTGTCTGACCGCTAAGCTGTCCACCTGAAAACAGTGAATGTTAACTGCAACTGAAAAACGAAAGAGAAATATAAAAGCAAGCAGGATCTCACATAACAGGGCCACGTGGGAGAAGCCCTCGGCCCACACTCAACAGGGGAAAGCTGGCAGCTTGCCCGGCAGAAACACGGTCGGGACGCTCACTCTGGCCACTTCTGTTGCACGTAGGACCGATGTCCTAACCAGAGCAATTCGGCAGGAAAAGGCATACAAATTAGAAAGCTAGAAATAAAAGTGTCTCTGTTTGCAGACAACATAGTTTTATATATTGAAAACTCTAGAGACTCTGCCAAAAAAACTGTTAAAATTCAGTACAGTTGCAGAATACACACTGAACATGCAAAAAAAATCAGGTGCATTTCTATACACTGACAACAAACTGTCTGAAAAGGAAAACAATCCCATTTACAACAGCACCAAAAAGAACAAACTATTTCGAAATCAACTAAGGAGGTAAAAACTAAAAAGGATTAAAGAAATTAAAGAACACACAAATGAAAAGAAATCCCCTGTTCATGGATCGAAATTCATGAACCCAAATCAATATAATCCCGAACAAAATCCCAATGGTATTTTTTACAAAAACAGAAAATAACAATTCTAAAATTCATATGAAACCACAAAAGACCACAAATAGCCAAATCAGTCTTGAAAATTAAGAATCAAGTTGGAGGCATCACCCTTCTGATTTCAAAATATATTACAAAACTACAATAATCAAAAATGCATGGTATTGGCATAAAGACAACATATAGGCCAATGGAACAGAACAGGGAGCCCAGAAATAAACCTGTGCATGTAAGGGCAACTGATCTACAACAAGGGTGCCAAAAATACACAATGGGAAAGGACAGTCTCTTTAATAAATGGTGTTGGGAAAACTGGATATCCACAGGTAAAAACATGAAACTGGACCCTTATCTTAAACCACACAAAAGAGATCAACTCAAAACGGATTAAACTTGGATATCAGAGGCTATAAAACTCCTAGAGGAACACACAGGGGTCAAAAACTTATGTCCACACAAAAAAATCTGCTTGCAGCAGCTTTATTCCTAAATGCCGAAACTTGGAAGCAACCAAGATGCCCTCGGTAGGGGAACAGGTAAGTAAACTGCGGCACATCCAGACAGGGGCACAGTATCAGTGCTGAGAAGAGGTGAGCTATGAAGCCAAGGAAAGACATGGAAGGAGCTTACGGGCCTATCACTAAGTGCAAGGAGCCAGTTTCTGAAGGCTGCACACTCTGCCACACTGGAAGACAAAGCAGTGCGCACAGTACAAAGAGCAGGGGCCGCAGGCGGAGGCTGTGGGGAGGAGTGCACAGGCAGAACTCAGAGGGATTCTAGAGCAGTGAGAATACTGTGTTTGAACCATAGTGATGGACACGTCACTGAACGTGTCCAAATCGACAGAACATTTGACAGCATGAGTGAGCCCTAATGTACACTGGGGACTTCTGGTGACGCTGTGTCGGTGCAGGTGCGGCAGCTGTGAACAACCCAGCCCTCTGCTGAGGACTTGCTGGTGGGGGAGGCCATGCGTGTATGGGGACAACAGGTGTGTGGGAGACCTCTGTGCCTTCACCTGATGCTGTGAACCTAAAACTGCTCTGAAAACAATTAAGTCTTTTAAAAAAAGGACAAAGGAACAATACAGAGCTCTTGGATTTAAAGTCACCACAGAAGAGCGGGAAGACAAGGCTCAGTCCCAGGAAACGCGGACAGCGGGGCAGGACACCGAGGGCCGGTCTACACAGTGCGGCTCTGATCTGCAGGACCAGAGAGTAAGACCGGGAGGAGGAGGAAGTCCCTGAGGACGACACTCGGCACGTCGGCCCCAACAAAAAGTACACGTCTCGGATGGAGAGGGGCCACCACCTAAATGGGAGAAATTAGGACTAAAAAGAGGACATGAAAGGCTTCCTGAGATGAAAAAAAATGCCAGGTCACATAAAACAAGAACCAGACAGGCCTGGACCCCCATGATGGCTGCCGTGGGTGTAGAAAACAATGGGGTGGTGTCTCCAACACGCGAGCAAGAACTGACCAGAGAATCCACGGTCTGGCCAGAATATCAACCAAAGCTGGGGGTTAGAATAAGGCATTTTTGGAGACACTAAAATCTTGAAAAACCTGAGGAACGTTCCCCCTCGTGAAGGAATTACCAGGCTCGTACTGCACCAGTTGAAGAACCTGGGAGCTGCAGAACCCGGGAGGGCAGGGATTGAACACGGGAGTCTTGGACAGCAGCCGTGCAGAGCACCCAGAGAAGCTGGGGCAGCCGGGAGCAGGAGCAGAGGGCTGGGGAGGCCAGGCGGTACCTGCCCCGTTCTCTCCGGGGAAAGGAAAAATGGTCCATCACAGGATCCTACTTGGCTTAGCACACAAGTCAGTCACTGCAGTATGAACTATAACGAACAAAATGCGAATGCACTGGAAGAGGAGTGGGGAAGGGGAGGGAGAGCAGGTGGTGAATCCAGGGGCATCAGGAACTCAGAAACCCACTGTTCTCTGGATTGAAGATGTGTTGTGCACAGAGCCTTCTTCTGTAATGTCCTGCAGTTTCCCCTCAGGCCACGCAATCAAGCCATTCCCTCTCTCAGATCAAACACTGGCTCAGCTTTCTATCAACTGAACCAGCCACAAATCTCTGTCGGCACTTCGTGTTCCCTTTGGGTCTCTGGGCTGCCTTTGCTTAGATTATCAGTTGGATGGGTCCGGAGCAATGTGGTTTTACGTCTGCTCCTCAGTCAATACATTGCAGGTAGCTCACCCTTCCACTGAGGCACCCAAATGCTACCCTGGAATCCATGTGGATTCCGTGGGCATCCCTGCCCTGCGCTCTTCCCAGGCCATCCTTAAGGGCAGCCACACCAAAGTCATACATAATAGAAGATAAGATTTGGCCAACTTTCTGTTTGGGGTAATCTTTTCATTTTCCACTTTAATGCAAATGTCACACTTAATAATGAGCCTATGTAACATCCTAATGGGAGGAATACAAGTAACATCACAGCAAAATTCTGCCGTCACAAACAAGCGTAGGAGTTGCAGCTGGCCCGGTGGCCGGCTTGGGGACAAGCCTCTGTGCTTCTGCACATCGGACGGGCCAGCAAGTGCCCTGGGGAAGTACGTGTGAGGCATCCCTGTGGAGACACACAGCCGGTCACCCACGGGGCCACCCGTCCTCCCGCACGGCAGGAAGAGGACACAGTGACCCTCGGCACTCATCTTTGGGTCCCTCAAGTGCAAATATTAGATAAATTTGTTGAATTAAAGTGTAGGAAGCTGAGGTTCTGGATTGGAGATATTTTTAATTATTTTTATTTCAAAGAGCACTAAAAAAAATACAGGAATGTTTAGGATAAAGCTAAGTAAAATGATATGTGTCAATTTAAGAGCAAATATCAAATTTGGATGGGGCAGAGTCCGCACGAGCAGTGTTGAAATGCCCATCACTTGCCACAGGTACCGAGGTGTCTGGACGCCGTGGAAGCGGCGGAGCAGTGACTGTCACACGTGGCACTGGTGCCAGTCCACCACAGAGAGGCCAACCACTGAAAACCCAGCACGACACCAAGAACTGAGAACCATCAATGGGTGACTTTATTTTATATAAAAGTGACATTGAAAGAGGAGGTTGAAAAGTCAAGTATACTTGATTTGCACATACTTGCCAAGTCTCACAGGATTCCACCACTTGGATAATTTTTCTAATCAATAAACAGGATATACCTATTAAAAGGCTCACATTGAAGCCCAGTACGCATGTCCGGCCAGACAACAGATGTGCAAATGCATACACAGAACCACCTCCGCAGACGCGTCTCCTGGATCACCACGGTGTGTGTCTGTGTCGGCCCTCTGGCTGTGGCTCAGCCTGCCCCTGACAGCTCACACATCTCTGTAGTGACTTGGTCCGTTTCTAAAGCGTCCCACAGCTTTGTTCACTTGGCTACGAGTGTGTCTCGAATAGGTCCCTTCATGGGTTTGCATCAGCAGTGGTAGAAACCCTGATTAGGATAGGGTTTGGGTTAATTTGAAGACAGAAACAAAAACGGTTCACAGATGAACAGAGCGGTGTGAAGACCGGGAGGGAGACACCAACTCTTCTCAGTGAGGGGCAGGCTTAGAGGAGACCCTGGGACCGTCACCGGTGGCTTCCTCGGGAGTCCTGCACACACGTACCGACCAGGCAAGTTTAAGGCGAGTCCCCAAGGAGGGGAGCTGTTTGCTTTCTGGCATAATTTTAAGCTCTGCACCAAGGGTCCTATTTGATCACTGGTGGCGTGAGTAGAGAAACAAAACAAAAATGATAAAAAAAGAAAAACAAGCTGTTGCCATCCTGAATATTCTTTGCAAGGAGGCAGAGTCCAGGGCACGTGGCCTCGCGGTCCTCTCCTCCGTGATGCCCAGACGGACACCAGCCTCCCCCGTGTCTCACTGGGCTGTGCCTGTCCCTCCTCCTGGCACCGCCGAGCAACACCACGTGAAGGTCACCAGGGACGTAGCTCTTGGTGCTGCTGACACACTGCTAATTTGGCTGGATGAAAAAAGTCAGTTCCAAGGCCCTCACGCACTCAAGATTTTTAAGGTAAAATGAAAACAGGAGGGCAACAAAGGACCACACGGGAATGATTGTTCTTTGGATCAAGATATTTTCCAGTTTGCAATACATTCAAAGCGAACCCCACGGGAGGAGCATCCCGGGCAGCTCTCCCCGCTTCCCTGAAACGCTGGTTTCTAAAAAACAGCTCGTTCGCCGCACAGCCATTCCAGGCTGCCTCGTCCAGACAACACTGTCAACTTCAAACACACGTGCATGCTCGCACACACGCTCACAAACAGACACAGACACGCATGCAGCCTCGCTGCAGGGTCACAGAACACCTCTTCCCAGGCAGTGGGAGTGGGTCCGAAGCCGCCCTCGCTGCTCGGTGCGCGGATCTTTTGCAAACTCAGTGCAAAGTGCCAGAACCAATGGAGACCAAGATGTACTTCACGTAAACGCCCCTTCTCGATCCAGGGAGTGCACCACTGATCACAGGGTCCACAGGAACTCCCTGAAACCGCCCGTCGGAGGGTTCTTGTTCACTGGACTTTTTCTCTTCACGATTGAAAACAGCAGCTCAGTACACAGGATCTTATTAACCTATGGAATATCACAGAACTTCTTAGAAAATGCAAAGTTTGCTTAACAAAAACCCTACCTGTGTGAGCAGATAATGACATTTAGCTTCTTCACGTGGCCACATCCGTTTGGTTAGTTGTACAGGTGAAAACTGATGAGAGCGTCACCCAGGTACTGGTGTGGAGAACCCGCCATCCGTGACTGTGAACACAGCACGTAAGATTCTGCTTGCTGCAAGCAACTGGTTCGTGGAGGTTCCATTTGCCCTATTGGTCATCGGTCACAGATGAGCTGTCGATTCCCTGTCAGACCCCAAATAAATAATTTTCGCTGACAAGTTCCAGCATGACGGGAGGGGCCTCAAACGGAGAACTCTGGGCCTCCTTTTCTAGGTCTTGTCTGTAGTCGCCTAAACCGGAAGCCCACGAAGGGATTCATCCAGAGGAGCGAGGGGGGCCCCCCAAAGACCGACTTCATCCCTTCCCATCGTAGCCTCCGCTCCCAGGTCGGCTTCTCACTTTTCAGTCTCTCAATCTCCTGGAAGCAGAAGGAAGAGTGAGTGGGGACGGTTCCAAGAAACCCCCTGACAAAGCCACGTTAGGCCGGGTGGTGAAAATGGGGGCGAGGCCACCAAACTTCACTGTCCCGCAGTGTTTGAGGACGGGGTGTTTAGGTGCAGTATGGGCTCTCCTTCCAGGCACCAGCCCCCACGGCCGCCTGGACAGACTGACATCAGACGGCTGGGCCGTGGCCATCAGCCAAGAGAGCCCAGGCAGCCCCAGAGATGCAGAGAGAGCTCGTGCTCTGGGCCAGGGGCGGCCTTTAACTCATTCACCACAAATATTTATCAAGTGTCTGCGCCAGGCCTACAGTTCAAAGGCGTGAAGGCAATCAATTCCTGAAACTCGCTCCGCTGCTCCAGGGGCTTGGTTTCCTAAAAACTGGGAATCTGCCTGGCTCTGCTGACTCTCAAACCACACAGACCCCTGAAACATGCACTGCTCGTACTGACAGGAAGAGCAAATAGAGCGAGCCTGTTGGAGCTTATCAAGGCCGCCCAGTTAATCTCTTGAGTTAATCCGCACGCACCTGCTATTGACATTAGGCTTTCCCACTTACTCAAGCTCTCACCAAACACAAAGCAAACACAGACGAGAACGAAGGGTACCGTTTCATCGTTGCATATTGAGTGGATCTGGGTGCCAAACATAACTGCAGTGAAAGTGAAAAACAGGAGACCCTCAAGGCACAGGAAGATCAACAGGATTACAGTGATTGGAGGCGAAAAATCGCTGCACTCTGTGAACAAGAGAAAGCGGGTTGTGACTGGGCGTCTCGGTGTCGCAACCAACACCCACGCCGTGGGTGCTGTGCTCGGCTCACAGGCCCTCGCAGGAGCAGCCTGGGCCAGGTTCCAGGGAGAAGGTGCTCATTTGGTAAAGAGGCACATTCATTGTTCCCTCGGAGGTGGAGGAGGTCGGCCCTTCCGAGCACAAATTCACACCACTGTTTCCCAGCCAGCAGTTTCCAAAGATTCCACGTTACCTGAGATTTCTATTTGGACTGTCTCTGTATATTAAAGTGCTTATTAAAATGCAACCAAAACTGGAGAAGAGAGGCACAAGTACCTAGACACGGGAGGAATGCAGGGCGTCCCCACCCGTCCCTGGGGCAGGACGATGCTGGCCTGCACCCCCGATGCCCACCTTCACCACACGCACATTCAGTCACGGAAGAGTGCTCTGAGCAATGCCTTGCCGGCTAGCCAGAAAATAAACACCTGGGACAATACTGACACCCCTCTAAACCTCAGATCTGCAAAATACAATGAGACTATCTAGTGGAAGTTATTCACGGACCACAGAAGAATAGTCACACACACACACACACACACACACACACACACACGGAGTTTCACTATACTAGGGGAAAAAGGCAGTGTTAAACTTATCCATATTCTTATCCACTGTACCATGCTTATGCTGCCTGTTTTTTAAAACTTACCCATATTCTTTAAAAAAAATTAACTTCTAAAATAACTGCAAGGATTTCTTTCGAAACTGGAAAATCAATTTTCCTTGAAAGCTTTCCCCTCTTCACCCAGCTGCTTGGCTTCCAGGAAAGGCACGCCCAAGCTTACCTGTCCACTGCCCTCGGACGCAGGAGACGAACTGCAGGCCACAGAGAATCAGAGCGTGGACTGAAGACAGAGCTATGTACATCTGTGAAGGGAGGAACCGGTTACTACGTATTTTTAGGAGCAAAGTGCACTTCATCGCAGGCTGACCCCTCCCTTTCATTTGTCAGTAAAATTAATGAGGAAAGGAATCAACTGCAGCAGCTGACACCTGCCTGCCCAAGGTCACGCTGGACCAAGGAAAGTGAGTTTGAAGAAAAATACACAGTAAGGAGTCATGTCTTAACTTCAGCAAGACCCTACTAAGAACCGTGTGTCTGAGAGAAGGCATGGCAGTAAAACACAACAACACAGGCAGCGCAGGTTTATCTTTTGGACAACTTCCCACCAATCGCAGCACAGTATTCTCGTTTGAGTTCAGAGCAAGGGTTGGAGAGAAACTGGTCTGATGTTAGAATAAATGTACCATCTCCAGGCAAGATTCTAGTTAAAGAATTTAAAACTCAATACAAGTCCCTACATAAATATTTCTACTCACAGTGAAAAGCACAAAAAACCTCTGGTTCTTTTCTCCTACACAGTTGTTCACCCACGGGCAGTGGTGATCCATTTTCCGAATACAGCGTTTGCAAATACTACAAAGGAGAGGTTTGAATGTCAGTATTCCCTGCTCTGAGCGAACGCAGCCCCAGGCCATGTATCCAAACAAAAAACTGTAATGCTGGTCAGAGGCCACGGAGGGGGACCCCTGCTCCGAGGTGCCTGCAGCAGTGGGCGCCCAGGCCACGTTGGGGAAGGGGCTGTGGTACCTGCAGTGGTGGGCACGCTCAGGCTTGATACAGCAGCACTTGGGGCACTTGTAGATCACTTCTCCGGGCTTCAGCTGCAAACTCTCCATGTACTCTTTAGTAGCATTTCCTTTGGGCACTGCCCCCTGCCGTTTAATAACAATGTTTAGTTAGGGAGAAGGAAAAGTTAAAAACAATAAATGGAGGAATTAGTCTTCGATTTTATAATATCATAACATAGTTAGTAATGCAGTAGTTGCCACTAGAAGCATCTTAATATGAAAAATAACTATTAGGTAGGACTAGAAGTTTAATTTTGCACGAAAAATAACATGCATTAAAATGAACTCAAAACAAAGACCTTATTGTCCTTCACAAAGTGGTAAGTCATGTGAGTTTTTTCTAGCTAATGTAAGTCACACCAGCGGCAAGGTTTGTTTGTGCAGCCAATCCAACTTAAGGGCAGCTGACTGCCACCACTTCCCTATCCACCCCCCCCCCCCGTTCCAACGGGCAGGGTTGGCCTGAGAGCGCTGCCCACACAGTTCCCTATCAGTGGCCGTAGGGGAGCCCTGCACAAAAGTCTCACAGGGGACTTCACCTTGTGCTTCTCTATGTAACACACCTGTGTCTGCAACCTGACCAAGCGCACTCACACTCGGCAACTCAGCCTCTGGCTCTAGGGTCAGGGGCGGTAACAGCACACTGCTTCTGCCCCCAGTGCCAGGGGTCTGGAGAAAGGGGAGCTACGAGGGAGCAACAGGAAGACACATCAGGGAAATGTGAACTGATCGCAAGAGGCTGCCTGGCACAAGGGCCAGGAACCGTCAGCACAGGACCTCGTAGGCGACACGGGCAGGGAGGCCGCAGGGCAGAAGGCCTTGATCTTTGGGTGGTAGAGAGACGTCATGGAAAACACGTTCGGAAGATGACTCTGGGCACCATGGCAGGGTGGACTAAGATAAGCGACCCGACTAGAGTGGATGGAGGGTGGGGAGGGTGTTCTAAATGTCTCAAGCTAGGGAACAAAGTCTGTATCCCATTTGTTTGCCCCTGGGAGCCTGTGATTCACGCAGAAATGCACACTCTGGAAAATGAGCCCGCTGAGCCCTGGGACCAGCAGGCCAGCGGAGCCCTTCTGTGTCTGGTGACACAGAAGCCCAAGGAGATGGAAGGGCAGAGCCTGTGCTGTAGTGAGGAGGGGCCGGGGTGCACAGGGTCAGGAGTGGGTCTGGCTCCCGGCAGGGGCTTTGCTATCCACACAAAAGGAGAAGAGGGTTTTTGAAAAGCCTCTGAGGGACATCCAATTCGGTCATGGTCAAAATCCCCACAATCTGGTGAGGCTACAAAACACCGGCAGACTTGGCCTCCCAGTTGTCGCCTAAGTGCTGCTCCCAGCTGCCACCAGGCAGGTCTGTCATACTGTCCTAGGCCTAAGGCCTCCGCCAGGCAAACAGGCAACGGGGTAAGTAACGCAGAGTAACACTCTGTGATGTGAACTTAGATATAGTGAAAGTCACATAAGTCAACGTGTCAATTGCGTTCTGTGGACTGATCCTTATCAGTTTATTCTCAAACAAAAGCCTAATCTTATTTATTAAAAAGTTTTATAACAAAACAGTAACATCTTTGTACCTTTTTAGAGAAAGCTAACCAACAGGTATGAGCCCGGACTTTAATGTACAATCAGCAGTCCCTGTACCAGTGGTTTAAAACCACTCTCGGTGCTGGGGAAGAGCCTGTTTCAAACTAAACCCCTCACTGGCTGCTAGCACCCAGCCACGCACACCTGCAGCTGAGCTCCGCTGAGGGGTAACCTCTCCCACTGGGCCTGCGGGCTGCCCTCCCCCGAAGCACCTCCTCCGGGCTCGGGGTGAGCCTGGAATCCACCATCTACAGGTGACTTGAGGCTGAGCTGTGAGGATCTGCACTGCTTTGCCCAGAGGATGTCTCAAATCTCAGAGAAGCAGCCTTGCACCAGGCATGGACCGTCTGACTCCAGGGCCATCAAGGCACCGGGAAGGGCAGTCCACTGTGTGAGACCCAGCCCACCTTCATTCGCAGGGACACTGCTCCAAGGCTAAGGCCAACCCGCCGCCCTGGTTCTCACACCCCAGTGTCAGCTCGCTCCCTGTGCATTGAACCTGATCTCTATTCAGCAATCGCCTCCTCACAACCCACCCCTGACAGCATCAGTAACCAGTGAGTTCTTCCTCTCTGCTTCACAGACAGGCTGAACTTGACCTTTTCCTGACCAGGCAGAATAAGATATTTGCTTCAGATTTTAACTGAGACTTAAAAACAAGGGAATTACGAAGCTAGAAAGACCTTGGAGATAATAACTGACCTTTAGCCCTAAGAAGACACATGAGCTGTCTATGGTCAAAACGCTACTGTAAAGGCCAGGCCCTGCCGGGTGGCCCAGGCGGTTGGAGCATCATCCCACACAACAAAGAAGTGGCAGGTTCGATGCCCATGCAAGGCACGTATGAGAGGCCACAGACAGGCGTCTCTCTCTCTCTTGCTCTCCCTCTCAAATCAATAAACACAGCCTCTGGTGAGGATTGGGAAAAAAAATTAGTGCAGTGGTGAAATCCAGATCTCCAATCTCCCAGCTTCCAGTTCATTCCTTAGAGAAAGAAAATATTTAAAGTAGGAGGGACTTTAGAAATCACTCAATACAATCCCTTCATTTGTATGAACAGCCCAATGGGAATGCTGTCCATTAACATACTGTGATATCACTTCTACTTAAGCAATGCTTTTTCTCCAGTGAAAAATGCTACAAGCCTGTATCCAAGAACTGTAACAACCTGAGGTGACGGGAGCAAGAGGCCCTCTGCCACACGGGCGGTGGTGTCACACGAGACCAGACCAAGAGGAAAGTCCCGCTTGACAGGGAGGAGGACTCACGGGGTCGGTGAGCATGGTCCTCAGGTGCGACGACAGGGCCAGCACCGCCAGGCAGTTAAAAATGACCCCGTTGACCACGGAGTACCAGAAGTCTCTGGAAGGCAGCAGCATGACAAATGTCACCACGAAGTCTGCGTAGACGACCAGAAGCCACGTCATGACGGCGCAGATCATGCCGCAGCCATCATGGATGAACCAGACCCTGTCTGCCACGTCAGCCTCGGAGGAAGAGGAGGACGAAGAGTCGTAACTGTCATTCTCGGTCAGGAGAGGATGGTGCTCGACATCACGGAGCCGGTGTCCTGATGACGGCATGGTTTCCCGATGCACCCTAGAGGGGATTGGACATGGTGGAGGAGGCTCCGGGGAACCCACGCAGGGCCAGCCGCAGCCAGAGTGACAAAGACAGAACAAGAACAAGCCCGGTATGGAATGACAGCACCCAGGTTCCCAAGCCCCGGCGGCCACTGACTGTCCACGCCCACAGCCCTGTGCAGCCTGACCCCTCTGTGCCGCAGCTCGTGCCGACCTTACGTTCCCACAGACAGGACTGCCCGAGGGGTGGGAGGGTGACGAATAAGCGACTGCTTCCTGGCACATTTTCTGCTGGCCCACTCAACGCCGAGCTTGCAGTGCCTGCCTGGGCTTCTCCGATGTGACTCTCAGTTTACTTTCATTTCTCCCACATTTTGACTCTTAATGGCATGTGAGCATGTTTTAGAGGTAGGCTCCCATTTTTACCTCTGTCTCCTTCAACTGTATACTGTTTCTAGAACGCCCTTACTCTCTACGTGAACCCTTTAAAGTTTCCTTCACTCGTTAACCCATCCTTTGACACCTTCCCTGTATTTCCTGCAGTCCCGATACCCGATACCCGAGAACACACAGGCCCAAGGAGACAGAAAAGAAACTCGCACATTTCCTAAAAACTTGGTTTGCTGCTTCTTTAAATGTGTGACCTTCTCTTATCGGCACTTGACAAAAGTGATACTCAGGATATGTAAAGACAAAGGCAATACAGAGGCAGAGTTCAGTTGGCCTCAGTGTTCACAGAAGGGACAGAAAAAAACTCTGGCGCCCTTTTATCAAATGACCCAAGTGCTTCCTCGAGCAGGCGCACTCGGCCCTCCCCAGCGGAAGAAGCAGGAGCTGCAGGGTGAGTGAGTGCTCTCGGGGTCAGGTCTGCTACAAGTTACAACCAGCAGCCTGTCGAATATGGGCGTTCTGGTTGCTTTGTTTTTTACCTTAAATGCAAGCGGACACAGTAACTATGAAAACATTTAGTGAATAAATAAACTTGCAAATGAGAGTCATTCTGCAAATATTTTACAAAATTCTCACTCAATATAAAAATATTGAGCGGCACCAGAGAAAAATAAAATTGTTCCTATGGTCAGCAATATAACCTTGCTCTTAGATCTGACAAAAACAGCTTAAAGGTTTTAAGTGAAAGAGAAGAAACTAAAGATAGGAGGTGGGCAGGCCTTAGCCAGCCACTTTTTTAAAAATTTATTCTTTTATTGATTATGCTGTTACAGTTGTTCTATTCCCCCCTTCATTTCCCTCCACCCTACCCCCCATCCCCACCATTACGCCCCCCCCTTTAGTTTATGACCATGTGTCTCAAGTTCTTTAGATTCTATATTTCCCATAATATTATCGCCCCCCCCATCTATTTTCTATCTACTGTCTATGCTACTTATTTTCTGTACCTTCTCCCCCCTTCTCCTCCTCCCACTCCCCTGTTGCTAACCCTCCTTGAGATCTTCATTTCTATGTTTCCACTCCTGATCTAGCTGTCCTTTTAGTTTGCTTTTGTTTTAGGTGTGGTTGTTAATAACTGTGAGTTTGCTGTCCTTTCACTGTTCATGTTTCTTTTAACTTCTTTTTCTTAGGTAAGTCCCTTTAACATTTCATATAATAAGGGCTTGGTGATGATGAACTCCTTGAATTTGATCTTATCTGAGAAGCACTTTATCTGTCCTTCCATTCTAAATGAAAGTTTTGCTGGAGAGAGCAATCTTGGTTGTAGGTCTTTGGATTTCATGACTTTTTCAGCTGCGTTTCCCGAATGCTGCGTCAGCCCGACCGACTTGCCTTCCCGAGTCCATCCCACTCCCCCGGAGGGCCCCGCCCTGCGTTTCTCTCTTCCAAGTAAGTGGTCCCAAAGGCCGTCCTCCTTCCTCAGAGGGGCGTTCTGGCAAGGGTCCATGAATATCAGACATGCCCATACTGTTGTAAAGCCTGATTTTCTCAGAGGGCCGACACAGTATCCGGAAGCTTCTCTGCCTCCCTCGAACTCTCAGGGCCCGCTCGTCAGTTCCACTTGCGGACTGTCTTCACCCCTTTCTACCTCGGGAGCCTGTGTGCCTCCCCCGACTGCGACCCCCAGCAGAGGGCCTGGGCTTTTTGGAGCTTTTTGGAGCCTGTATGCTGTCGGCACATGCACGTCTGTTTACGGGCAGATGTAACAACAGGGAAGTGGGACCCCCCTTAGACAAACCATTTTCTAGTGATTTCCATAAAGGTTTCTTAGTGAATCAGAGCTGTACCTCAAGCCCTTAAACTGAAAAATCCCCCAACCAGAATCCCTTTGCTTTACGGTGATGCCTCAAGTAGAAGGCTTTCCACGAGAAACGCAGCTGGCTCGCCAGGCAATAAGACAATTCGCTGCGTGGCCGCGTGCCCAGAGGCTGACTGACTGGCCCTCTGTCGTAGCACGCGGCGTTGGTGCAGCCTGAGCGGCTTCCAAAGGCACACACGTGAACAGCTGCGCCGGCTCAGCCGCACCTTCCGGTGGAGGCGCCGGTGAGAAGTGCCAGGGCGCGCAGGACGCAGGCCTGTGGTAGTCCGCCTGGCTGGGGGTGTGGGCGGCAGGAAGGGGGCCTCAAAGTCATCGAAGGCTGGCGTGGTAGGGCAGTCCCAGAAGTGCGTACTAGGGGGCTGCTGCATAATGCTTATGTGCTTCAGAGCCAGGTTCGTTAAACCCACTAGAAGGCAAAGGGGAAAACAATCTGATTCCCAGAAGTGACTCTATTTACAAGAAAGTCATCGATGGCAGGGTTAGGCTGGATGCATTCAGTTGCCTGTCATAAACAGCACGAGTACTCCGCTGAGTCACTGTACTTACACTTCACGATTGCGACAGGAAGGGAGGGGAGGAGATGAAGAAACAATTCCTTAACACGGACCTAGTCAAAAGTACTGGGATCACGAGAGCAATGGTACAGCGATTTGAGATGCCGAACAAAAATGTACACTTGTTACAGTAAGGCTGTGCTCTTACGCTACACTAAATGCCAGAATCGCTATCGACTTAACACTCTCAAAGACCATTTTGGGGAGAAATCTGAAGGTCAAGCAGATGTCCCATCATCGCTTTCCTAATTTTATGGCTAACTTAATGGGGTTTTGTCTACTCCTGAACCTGAGCTGCTTGTCCTGGGTTAAATAAAACCCACCCTCCCGGACCATGAACTGCAGATCTCCACTCTTTAAAGGGACAACCACACAAGCCAAAGCTTTCCATTACATTTACATTCATCTCATCTTGTAACACTTGCTACTACCTTATCAGTTCCCTTCCTGGACGTCCCCCACCCTCACCCCTAACATACATTCTCCTTGTGGGACACGTGGTAATAAGCAAACCACGGCAACAGGCGGAGAGCAGCATCTCCTCGTGCCATCACCTCTGTACGGCCCGCACCGCCTTTCCGTAGCACGCCACCAGTGCCAGCTCCCGGCAGGGAAACAGTGATTATACACCTGAATAGAGAACCACATCCTTACCTCACAAATTATTTGGAAACATTACTTGAACATTTTGTGCCTTTTCTTCAGGATCTGAAGATACATACTGTCCTATGTGGTAGGATCTGAAAGATAATAACATTTGATTAGAAAAGTTACTTATTTTATGACAGAAAAGTGTACAATATTTCTTCAGGTATGATTAATTTTTGGAGTGTATATAACCAACATACCATTTTACAGATAAAGTTCTGTTACTGAGAACTACCCCTGACTATGAATCATTACTCCTCTAAGTTTTCATTACCCAGAACACTGCCCGACAGCCTTGAAGATTAAGTATTGTAAGTCTGTCCCTTTTACTCTCCTGCTATTGTGCCACAGTGTTGGACACAAAGCCTGAAGCTGAAAAAGATCTCTAAGGATAACCCGCACCAAATCCGACTAACCCGTGTCTCAACAGTCAGCATTCGTGTTACTAGCAAAGGGCTTCCAGAAAAGGGGGACAGAGTGAGACCAAGAGGTAAGAGGTGCTGGAGGAAAGGAGCATCCACTCGAAGGAACATGGTACACGAGGGAGGGCCGCCTACTGAAAGGAGAGACTCCCAGTCCCCACGTCCCACGTGGCTCACTGGCGGTGGGCAGCAGACACTCATCCGGCCCGAGAGAAAAGGCCTAAAAATACCAGGATGGGGGGGAACCCCAACAAGGAAGTCAGACTCACTGCCACATTTCCCCGAGACAAGGACCGTCAGAGGACGTCCCACCACGGCTCCAAGTGCCTGGCCCACCTCTTTCCTAATATAAGCAGGCAGCCAACAGTCGGGTGTTTTGAAGAAAGCCCAAAACAGTTCTCATGAAGGAGCGAGCCCCCAAAAGAAATGGGAGAGGGGGGAAAATTCAGAGCAGGTGTGATGCACAGAGAAAAAAACTTAATAAGAAACTGTATCGTTAAAACAAAAAGAGGAACACTGTAAGGACTTCCTAGTTATTGAACAATAAAAATATGATGGTAGAATTTTGAAATCTTAAAAACAGGATTGGTTGAGAGAAAGGGGAAATCTCCCAGAAAGGAGAACTAAAGGACAAAGAGAAAGGCCTTGGGGGAAAAGTCAGAGCAGAGGCCCAGCCCAGGGGTCCCTCTTCCCAACTGCGGGCGGGCCGCCGAACAGCATCTCCTGTGGCACAGCTGGCTTCCACCAGCTGCCCAGCTGCGCGCCTGACGCCTGGCCGCTCGTTTTTACCCAGTACCCTTCCAACACCCTATTTTTCTGCTCAAGCAAATGTCAGCTGTTATGTGTTTTCTTCTTTACCTTTTTTTTGATGTTCTCTTTTTAAAAGTAAATTTATTGGGGTACCACCGGTTAATACTTATATAAGTTCCAGGTGTGCTGTTCTGTCATGCATCACCTGCACACTGCGTTGTGTGTCGCCGCCCAGAGTCTCGGCTCCTTCTGTCACACACATTTGGACTCCTCTGCTCTCTTCATTCCCCCCCCTTCCCTTCTGATGACCACCACACTGTTGTCTGTGTCTAGGCTGGTTGGTTGGTTGGTTTGTTGCTTTCTATTTCATATCCCACGTGAGTGAAATTATCCAGTTCTTGTCCTTTTCTGTCTGACTTATTCCACTTAGAGTGATACTTTCACAACCCATTCATGCTGCCACAAATGGCAGTGTTTCTTGTTTTTATGGCCGAGGAGTGTTCCTTCACAGACATGTACTACATCTTCTTTCTCCAATCATCTCCCAAAGGGCACTTGGCTCTTTTCTATGCCTTGGCTCTTGTGAATAATGATAGAAGTACGTATATGTTCACAAGTAAGTGTTTTTAAATTGTTTGGCTAGATACCTAGAAGGACTGCTGGGCATTTGGTAGTTCTACTCAATTTCTTGAGAACCCTCCACAGTTTCCCACGGTGGCTGCGTTCCCACCGGCAGTGTGCAAGGGCTCCCCTTTTTCCACATGCTCTCCAACACTTGGTATGACTTGTCTTATTGACAACAGCTATTCTAATAGGTGTGAGGTGGTATCTCATAGTGGTTTTGATTTGTATTTCCCTTACAGCTGGTGAAGCTGAGCATCTTTTCATGGTGGCCATCTCTAAGTCTTCTAGGGAAAAGTGTCTGTTCTGGTCCGCTGTCCATTTTCTAACTGGACACAGTCCAATTAAAATACGGAGTCTGTTTTCTGAAACCAAGGTGTCAGACTTGGACACAAGGAGGCTGATACGGAAGAAGGCGCAGGGACAGGAGTCTGGAGAGATTAAGAGGCATGGAGGGTATGTTTCCCCAGTCTCTGCTACCAAACAGATTCCAGTGTTCCTCCCAGTCACCCAGGGGCTGCCCGGTGCTTCCTGTCTCAGGTCTGCTGCACCTCCTCCTGGGCCAGGCTCCGCTATCAGCCTCCCCTGCCCTCCCCACCCACTGCAAGTCTCCTCGGGACTCAGGTCACCACCCCCCACACCCCTGAACCTACCTGGACAACCTCCCGCCCCGCCCTCAACACCACCCTAACAGAGTTCCGGCTCTGAGCCCTTCTGAACTTGTTAATAACAAATGTGGCCATAACTTCCAGCCAAGATGGAGCTGTAGGTAGACACACTGTGCCTCCTCGCACAACCAAAAGAAGGGCAACAACAATTTAAAAACAAAAACAAACCTGAACTGCCAGAAAATCGAACTGTATGGAAGTCCGACGACCAAGCAGTTAAAGAAGACACATTCATCCAGACCAGCAGGAGGGGCAGAGACGGGCGGGGTGGAGAAGACTCGTGGCAAGGCAGTCAAAGCGGTGGCTGACAGGCCCAGCGAGGCGGCGGATTGTGGACTGGGTCAGGCAACACTGCAACTGGCTGGCAAGGGAGCAGCTGGCGGACCCAGCAAGGCAGCGGCTGGTGGAGCCTGCGGTCCCACATTCACGTGAGGATGAACCCGGAGAAGCAACTAGGGAGAGAGACAGACCTCAAAACCCCGGGTCCCAGCACCGGGAAATAAAGCCTCAAACCACTGATTGAAAACACTGGTAGGGGTTGAGGTGGCAGTGGGAGAAACTCCCAGCCTCAAGGAGAGTTCACTGGAAAGACCCACAGGGTCCTAGAACGTACAAAAGCCCACCCACAAGGGAATCAGCACCAGAAGGGCCCACTTTGCTTGTGGGTATAGGGGAAGTGACTGAAATCTGACAGAAAGCAGAGCAAGGACCATTCCCTCTCTGACCCTTCCCCACATACAGTGTCACAGTGCAGCTTTGTGGGCTGCCCCGCCCTGGTGAACACCTAAGGCTCCACCCCTTACTACGAACAGGCACACTAAGACAAAAAAAAAAAAAAAAGGCCAAATGAAAGAACAGATCAAAGCTCCAGAAAAAATACAACTAAGCGACGAAGAGATAGCCAACCTATTAGATGCAGAGTTCAAAACACTGGTAATTAGGATGCTTACAAAATGGATTGAATTTGGTCGCAAATTAGATGAAAAAATGAAGGCAATGCTAAGTGAAATACAGAAAAATGCACAGGGAACCAACAGTGACGGGAAGGAAACTGGGACTCAAAGCAACGAACGGTGTGGACCAGAAGAAAGAAAGAAACATTCAACCAGAAAAGAATGAAGAAACAAGAATTCAAAAAAAATGAGGAGAGGTTCAGGAACCTCCAGGACATCTTTAAACATTCCAACATCTAGATTATAAGGGTACCAGAAGGAGAAGAGGAAGAGCAAGAAAACTGAAAATTTATTTGAACAAATAATGAAGGAGAACTTCCCCAATATGGCAAAGGAAATAGACTTCCAGGAAGTCCAGGAAACTCAGAGAGTCCCAAAGAAGTTGGACCCAAGGAGGAACACACCAAGGTACAACATAATTACATCACCCAAAATTAAAAATAAGAGAATCTTAGAAGCAGCAAGAGAAAAAGAGATAATTACCTACAAAGGAGTTCCCATCAGACTGTCAGCAGATTTCTCAAAAGAGACCTTATAGGCAAGAAGGGGCTGGAAAGAAGTATTCCAAGTCATGAAATTCAAAGACCTACATCCAAGATTGATCTATCCAGCAAAGCTTTCATTTAGAATGGAAGGGCAGATAAAGTGCTTCTCTGGTAAGGTGAAGTTAAAGGAGTTCATCATCACCAAGCCCTTAGTCTATGAAATGTTAAAGGGACTTACCTAAGAAGAAGAAAGTAAAAAACACGAACAGTAAAATGACAGCAAACTCACAGTTATTAACAACCACATCTAAAACAAAAACAAAAGCAAACAACTAGAACAGGAACAGAACCACAGAAATGGAGATCACATGAGGGTTATCAACAGGGGGGTGGGAGGGGGAGAGGGGGGAAAAGGTACAGAGAATAAGCAGCATAAATGGTAGGTAGAAAATAGACAGGGGGAGGGTAAGAGTAGTGTGGGAAATGTAGAAGCCAGAGAACTTACATTTTTGACCCATGGACATGAACTAAAGGGGGGGGATGTGGGTGGGAGGGGATGTGCAGGGCAGAGGGGAATGAAGGGGGGGAATGGGATAACTATAATAGCATAATCAATAAAATATATTAAAAATGTGGCCATAAATGCCAAGCTGCTTAAATTTATGGCAGTGATTGTTAAAATATGGTATTTATATATAGTAAATTTATTAAAATATTGAGGCAACAGCCAACGACTTTAAATGTATTCAGGAGTCAAGATCTGTCTTCAATTTACCTTTAACTGTATCTTCGATTAAGTTTCTTAATCTCTTCCCCTCACTTTTTTCCTCAGCTATAAACAAAACATGTATTTCTCATAAACAAGCTGAAAATAACTAAACAAAAGACATTAGTATTCTTTGATGATCAGTTATTACAAAAAAGAATTAAGTTACAAATACTTCATTAAGGCAATGAAGATGAAGTCTACCGTGAATCCAGTATTCATGTTTATATTAAAATGCCGTTTAACTTCATCATTATTTTACTATTCATACACCCACTGATGGCCTATATAAAACACAGAAATAAGCAAATCTCTGCTTCAGACATAGAAGCAGCACGAGAAGCAAAGCCAGCTGTGAGAGAGCCATTTAATTTGAGCATGGGGGGCAGGGGTCCTCCAAGAACACACTCTATGCAAGCCCAGCCCCTGCGCACACACAGGCAGCAGAGGTGGGAGTCAGCCGCATAAATAATGTGCTAAGTGTCGTCCCCAAATTGGGAGCAGAGTGTGATGAGAAAGAGAGAGGATGAGGGCTAATTCTGTCTGGAAGAACCAGAGTGTCAGTAAAGACAGCAAGGCGGGCACTGATGGACAAGCAAGAATCAGGCAGGAGGAGAGAAGAGTGCGCAGAGGGGAAAGGACCGTGGCGGAGAGGGAAGGGAGGTGTGACCCAAGGACAGACTGAGGTCCAAAGCAAAGCACTCTAAATGCCAAGCTTAAGAGTCTGGCTGTGCACTTCATTCCGCTGGAATAGGAGGCATGGGAATTTAGGTAAACAGAGAGAAGCTTTTAAAAGATACCTGGCAACAAAAGTGGGACTAGGGTGGAGGGGAAAGACCAGGTGCCCGGAGGCTGCTGCTGGGACCCAGAGCAGAGATGGCGGCCAGGGCCAGGAGGGGAGCAGGGAGGGCCTGAACAGGGCTGTCTGAGAGGCAGTTCCAGCGAGATAAAGCCGGGCAACTCACAGGGGCTGGGCGGGACCCAGTACAGGAAAATAAGAGGGGCTCAGAGGCAGGACTGCCCTGGCTGAGACTCTCGTGGAAGTGGGAACTGCAGACTCAGGGACAGAGTGCCGAGACCGGGGCTGAATGAATTTGAGGTGTCTGCAGGGTAACTGGCAGAGCTGACCAGCAATCAATTAAAATCTGGTCTCCTCCAGCCCCAAACTAGAGACAGGTAAGGACAGACGCCAGCACAGAGGAATAGGTGAGGTGGGAACAGGTGCACTCACCCAAGAGGCCCCAGAGGTGTGAGGCAGAACCCTGGGGAACACAGGCATGAAAGGGGAAGAGGAGGTAAAAAGGGCCAGGAAAGGAAGCCAGGGAGGGCGTTAAAGGGGGAGGGAAGGTGGGAGCAGTCCACACACCAACGGGGGCTCTGGGGCCTTGCAGACGGGGTGGCAAGATAATTAAAGAAGGAATTTTTTACAAATATGGTTAAGTGAAGGACATAGACAGCTAGAAGGAAAAGTGGAGGAAAATTTTTAAAAATTTCCTCTCTTGTGTATAATCTCACTTAAAGCTGCAAGGAACTCCAAGAAATATTTGGCCTCTATTTCACAGATGAGCCACCGTGGACCCACTGGGTGTAAGTGCCCACCCAAAGTCACCATTAGCTCCTGAGACTCCACAAGACCCCCACCGTGCTGCATCTTGGTCTGACCACACCACACTTTTAAAAAGCCTAGGATGGCCTCAGAAGCAACCGAACGTGAAGAAAACGAAGAGCATATACCCAGGTAAACCATAAGACTGTTAGACTAAGAGAATATAAGCTAAGAGGTCCAGCCGCGCTTGTTCCCGTTTCTTTTTTATTTCTCATTTTGTTATTTGAACTTTTCCTGTAACTACAAAAGCAAGAGAGGCTCACTTTTTTCTGTTTTTAAAGAACGTGGGTCCAAGTGTGCAGACTGAGGGCAGGGACAGCTGACAGACAGAATGGCCCTTCTTCCCGAGACTGGAGGGAGGGGAGGGGCCTACAGGCGGGCGGACTGAACCTGGAGAGGCTCACGCCCCACCACACTCTTTCTGAGCCAGGGGGGAGGAGGAGGGCTGTGAGTACCCAAAGCAGAGGAAGGCTTAGGAAGAGCTACTGAGACTGAAAAGAGGAGGCAGGAGCACGGTAAGGTGGGGTGGGGGCAACCAGAAAAGGGCTGAACCACAGCACTGAACCTTGGGTGCAGACAGCGCCGATACAGGTCTAACACAGTGATGGGAATGGCCAGCTCTTTTACCCAAAGGCCTGGCCCAATGCTACAAAGGTTCACGTGAGACTGGAGATTAACAAAGATGGTGACAGAAAACCAGGGTATCGAAGACAAGACTTGGGCTGCAACGATTAACCGCAGAGTGCAGGATGAAGGGCGATGCCTGATAAAGTAGGTGACAGAAAACCTCAAGGGACCCGGAAGTCCTCATGAGACTGGGAACCAGGTTTGGAAAAAGTGACAAGGAGAACTGGCCTGGGTCAGCAGGGGGACATAAGAGAATTCCCAGGAGGCACCGTTCAGGATGATGACAGTGTCTCAATCGTGGCTGTGCAAACCAGTGGGTTCAGGGGAGTGAAAGGAGAATGTCAGACACTGTCCCCAGTACCAGCCCGAATGACTGTGAGGCAGGACGGGGCCTGAGCTCAGTAGGTTATACTAAACAGAGAGCCAGAGTCCTCACCGACTTTGGAACAAGAATGGTGCACTCAGATACTCTCCCAGTGTATTTACTGCATTTATGTTCTTGAATGTTCTTCCCATCAATTTACAATCATGAAAGATTTAGTTTGTGCTTTCAAACCCTACCAATAATGTATGCCATATAAAACCACCACTGTTTTTTCCCTCAAATTACTGAATCTAAAGAACATCGACCTGTTCTAAAGAATATCAACCTTTGAAGAAAAAACCCAACAGCATAGTAAGCTCACTGAAGTCTCATTACCTCACTTGTGAACAGTAAATGTATTTAACCTTTCCGGAAAGGTCTTTTACACTAAAGTACTTAATCACTCCAAAATAGTACACGGAGACTGCATATCAAAAGGATGGCAAACTGGGAAACACTCCAACCCCTGAAAGCCAGGGGACTCGGAGAGGAAAGTCGGTCTCAAGAATGGGAGCAGGGTGGGGACAGGGGTGGGGAGAACACCGAGTTTTTCTCCTTTCTCAGTCCTGGGTTTCCCCCTTTACACGCTCTCTAAATGAACGGTCTCATGGGCTCTCAGCCCCACGCACTTACAGATATGTATCTGGGAAA